ATTTTCTCCGTTTAGAATGATGTTGGCCTTGGGTTTAGCATATGTAGCTTTTACAATGTTGAGGTATGTTCCTATTTTCCCTAGTTTTTCTGTTGTGTTAAACATGCTGTATTTTGTCAATTGCTTTTGCTGCATCTGCTGAGATAATCATGTGATACTTGTCTTTAAGTCTATTGATGTGATGATGAATTATGTTTATTGATTTCTGTATGTTGAACCAAACTTGCATCACTGGGAAGAACCCACCTTGATCATGATGTACTGTGTTTTTTAATGTTTTTTTATGTTATTTGCCAGAATTTTATTGAGAATTTTTGCATCCATGTTCATGAGGAATATTGGTCTGAAATTTTCTTTCCTTGATGTGTCTTTTCTGGTTTTGGTACCAGGGTGATAACTAGCTTCATAGAATGAGTTTGAAAAGGATTCCTTCCTTTTCTATTTCATGGAATAATTTGAGGATTATTGGTGTTGATTCTTCTTTGAAAGTCTGGTAGAACTCAGCTGAAAATCCATCTGATCCTGGGCTTTTCTTAGTTAGTAGGCTTTTGATAGCGTCTTCAATTTCATTACTTGAAATTGATCCGTTTTAATTGTCTATGTCCTCTTCATTCAGTTTGGGTAAGTCGTATGTCTCTAGAACTTTGTTGTCTTCAAGATATTCTATTTTATTAGAGTATAAAAATTTTCAAAATAATTTCTGATTATCATTTGCATTTCAGTAGTGTCAGTCATGATATTTCCTTTTTCATCACAAATTTTAGTTATTTGAGTTTTCTCACTCTTTGTTAGCTTGGCTAAGTGTTTATCAATTTTATTTATTTTTTTCAAAGAACCAACATTTTGTTTTCTAAATTATTTCTTTTGTTTCAATTTCATTGATTTCAGCTCTGATTTTAATTTGTGTCTTCTGCTTTTGGTGTTTATTTTTATAATATAATATTAACTATATATAATATAATATAATATTAAATAAATATTTGGCAATTTCCTATTCTTTTGATGAATGAGTGCAATTCAATGAACTTTCCTCTTAGAAGTGCCTTCATAGTGTCGCAGATAATTTGATATGTTGTGTTGCTCTTCTCATTTACCTCTTAAGTATTTTTTTTTTATTTCATCTTTGGTTTCTTCTGCTATCCATGGGTCACTCAGTACCATGTTTTTTAGTCCCCAGGTGTTAGAAAAGCTTCTATTTTTTATTTTATTGTTGATTTCCAATTTCATTCCATTATGATCTGATAGAATGCAAAGTATTATCTCTATTTTTTTATTTGCTAAATGTTGCTTTGTGGTCTAAGATATTGCCTATTTTAGAGAAGGATCCATGTGTTGCTTCTCTGCTAAGAAGAAAGTAATTCATTCATTGATGGATGAAATACTCAATATGTCTGTTAAGTCTAAATTATTTGATTGTATTATTTAATTCTGTCATTTCTTTATTTAATTTTTGTTTGGAGGATCTATCCCACGGTGAGAGAGGTATGTTAAAGTCACCCAGTATTATTGTGTTATGGTCTATTTGATTCTTGAAATTAAGAAGGGTTTATTTGATGTATGTATGCTCCATTTAGGGGGCCATAAATATTCATGATTATTATATCTTATTGATATATAATTCATTTAAGCAGTATGAAATGTCCTTCTTTGTCCCTTCTGATGAACTTTGGCTTGAAGTCCATTTTATCTGATATGAAGATAATAATCCCTGCTTGTTTATGAGATCCATGTGAATGATGTTTTATTCCCATCCTTTTACCTTCAGTCTGTGGATGTCTTTGCCTATGAGTTCTGTCTTTTGGAGACAGTATATTGTTGGGTCTTTTTTATTTTTTTAATCCAATCTGCCAGTCTATGTCTTTTGATTGATGAGTTTTCTTCAAAGTTATTACTGATGTATTATTTTTATTCCCTGTCATTTTGATTTATTTCTGGTTTTTAATTTGAATTAGTTTCTCCTTTGATTGATTATTCCTTTTGTGTAGTTGCTCCCTTTGCTGGTTTTCACTTTAATTTTTTATGAAATATTTTGCTAAGATTGTTCTGTAGTACAGGTTTTCTAGTTGTGAATTCTTTTAACTTTTATTTATCATGAAAGGTTTTTTAAATATATATTAGTTATAGTTGGACACAATACCTTTATTTTATTTATTTATTTTTATGTGGTGCTGAGGATCGAACCCAGGGTCTTGCATGTGCGAGGTGAGCACTCTGCCTCTGAGCCACAACCTCAGCTCTATCATGAAAGGTTTTTATTTTATTGTCAAATCTGAAACTTAATTTTTCTGGGTATAGTATTCTTGGTTGGCATCCATTTTCTTTCAGAACTTTGTATATATTATTTTAGAACCTCCCAGCTTTGAGGGTCTATGTTGAGAAATCAGCTGAGATTCAGATTGGTTTCCTTCTAAATGTATCTGACATTTTTTTCTTTCGCAGCCTTTAAAATTCTATCCTGTTAGGATAGGCATTTTCATAATAATGTGCCTTGGTGTGGGTCTGTTGTAATATTGTACATTTGTGGTCCTGTAATCCTCCTGAATTGGATTTTCCATTTCATTCTTTAGGGTTGAGAACTTTTCTGATATTATTTCATTGAAAAAACACTAAAGTGCATTCCTTTAGTGTGTATCTTCATGCCTTCATCTATCCCAATAGATCTTAAATTTGGTCTTTTAATGTTATTCCATATTTCTTGGAAGTTCTGTTCATGGTCTCTTAACATCTTTTCTCCATGGTCTATTTTATTTTCAAGATTATATATTTTGTCTTTATTGCCTGAAACTCTGTCCCTTTTCTTAAAATTTCCTTAGTGCACTATTTGAAAAAATCTTGTTTCTTTGTTAATGATTTCATTTTATATATTTTTCATCTAAATTCTATAACTTCTATACCTAATTAGATAACTTTTTATAGTATTTAATAATGTACAAAAATAGTTGTTCTACATTATTAGGAATGTGGCATGCTTGTCCCTACAATAATACATGTTTTACTTTTACCAAATGTAGGTTTTCCTTCCTTTTTTTTTTTTTTTTTTTGGTGTGCGTGTGTGGTGGGGTTTAATATTTTTATTGTGGCAACACAAAATTTGCCATTTTAACCATTTTTTGATATGCAATTTAGTGGCATTATATTCACAATGTTGTGCAGCCATTCCTGATACTTCCAAAACTTTTTCATTATCCCTCATGGAAGCTTTATAATCATTTACCAACAGCTTCCCATTTCCTTTCTCTCTAGCTCTTGGTAACCATTAATCTTTCTGTCTCTATGAATTTGCCAAATCTCTGTTATGCATTACTACTAAGAAGTACAGATAAAATTCATTATGTAAAATATCTCTTTATAGTTACTTGTTTATTTGCTATTATTACCCATAGTTTCTTTTTTATCTATTACTCCATAACCAATTTCTCCGCAACTTAGTGTCTTTGAAAAAAATCGTATATTATTTCTCAGGTTATCTATGAATGCACATTCAACTAGAGTACAACAGGGATGATAGATCTACTCCATGATAACTGTGGCCTTTACTAGAAGATTTTGAAACTTGAGACTAGAATATCTGAAAGCTTGTTTACTCATATGTTTGGCAATTGATGCTGGCTGCTACCTGTGGGCCTTTCTGGGTTATCCACTGGAATATCAGCACATGGTTTTCCCATGTGGCCTGAGCTTCCCCATAACATGGTGACAGGTTCCAAAGGCAAGCATTCCAAGAGAGAAAGGGAAAGTGAGAGAGTGGGCCAGCATGGAGGTGGAGGTCATATTACCCTCAGTGACCTGTCCTAAGAAGTCACACAGTGTCACTTTAACTGTATTCTAAGGGATGTGACAGTTACAGAGGTCTACACAGGTTCTGGGAAGAAGACCATAGACTTTGCCTCTCAGTGGAGCCACATTAGTGGAGCATGTGAGATGGGATAAGAATTTATGTGGTCATCTTTGGAAATACAGTCTGCCACAATGTGTGTCCAGCATAGTTCCCAATTCAGTCCATAGCAGGACTTCTCTAAAATTAACACATTACCTCAACAACTAACTAATTGATCATGGAGATACTTATACTTTCTCTCAGTAGGAAGTTGAGATTTATGCATTAAAAAGAAGATGAAAAATATAGATAATGCTGCAAGGGTTCTTAGACAAAATAAGTATATTTCTTAGAAATAAGCTAATTATTAAATATATTTCTTAGAAACAAGATAGTTATTTAAATGTGTCTATTAAAGAAACAGTTAATAGTTTTACTGCTATTTTCACATGTTTTCTGGTCAGGGTAACATTTTACTTTAAGTAGCATTGTTTATGAATACTATGTCTATAGTTTGGGCATGAAAGTACTTTTCTAGGTTCTTTTTTTATGGGGCAGGTTACTGGGTATTGAACCCCAAGCACTTTGCCATTGAGCTACATCCCCAGCATTTTCATTTTTTTGTTTTCAGACAGGGTCTCAATAAGTTGCTTGCTAAGTAGCTGCAAGTAGCCTTGAATTTGTGATCTTCTTGCCTCAGCTTCCTGGGTCATGGGAATTACAGGCTAGGGTTACTGCCCACCTTAGGTTCTTGATTTATTTGAAGTGTTTAAGTAAATGATTGCTTTCTTTCTCTGACATACATCTGGCTAAGATAGTTTATGAAGTATATTTTTCATTGCATAGCTTATCTAACCATGTTACCTAACTAACCTTTCTAAAATTTTAGTTGCCTCATCTAAAATATGGGAATATTAATAGTAGCTACCTCACAAAACTGACATGAGGACTAAATGAGTTAATATATGTAAAGTGTGTGACACATAGTAAGTGCTAAGAAAAAGATAAGAAGTACATGAATGTCATAATGGTGTTATATAAGAAAAATCATAGTATAATTTAATTCATTTCCAAAAAGGTTTTCACAGGATAATAGAATATGGTTAAGCTCTTTCATTTAGGAGAAATAATTGTTTTTTTTTAATGATTGCTTCTTAATTTAATATCTGTTTGATTTTCCTAGTTTGAAAAAGAAAAACAGCATGATATTCAATCATTCTTTTTACCAAAACCTAAAAAGAGACAGTTGGAGACCTCCTGTGATGAATCAAGGATATTTCAGGAGAAAAATACCATAGTGGCATCGAGGGATATCATTGATTCTGAACATAATTTTGAACCTGAAACTAAAAGATTGAAATCAGTCACCACCCATGACTGCAACAGCCTACCAGAGGAGAAACCATCCAGGCCTGGACAAACCAAAGCCAAACTCATGGAATATGTCCATAAGGCCAAGTCCCCGACAACCACCCCATCCCCTCCTGGAAAGGATTGGCAGTGTGGTTTCTGCACCTATATCAATAATTCACTATTATCTTATTGTGAAATGTGTGAGAATCCTCAAGGCAGTGCTGGTGAGTATGTTGGAAGGTGACTATAGAGGTGGGGGCTAGAGATAACCTGTGTTCTTAGAAACTCCTGTGTACAAAGGTTAGTGTGACTCAGCACTGACTTTAGCTTTTAAAATGGATTAAGAACTTCACATAGTGAAGACTGTGAATCTTTCATAGAATGTGAAAAACTCCTAGTTTTATCAAGAATTCCCAAGCATCTATGATATGACATTAATTTGGCACAAATGGACATTTCTGATTAATGTCAGCAGGATGTGAATTCAGTGGGCAGAAATAGAAGCTCTGTTGCTATGGTAGCAAATATGCCTTATAGTTATAGACCTTCTGCTTTCTTTCCTCTTTAGATACATTTGTTTTTAAAGAAATTATAGATTATTTTTATGTTTAAGTAGCAAAATAATTCAGTTCTTTACCTACTCGGTATACATTGGGCCATTTTTTGCTTGACAGATAATTAAAAACTCCTCCATAGAGCTTTTTTTTAATATATATCTGTAGATGGACGCAACACAATGCCTTTATTTTTATGTAGTGCTGAGAATCGAACCCAGGTCCCGCCCATGCTAGGCGAGCGCTCTACCACTGAGCCACAATCCCAGCCCAGCTTTTTTTTTTTAATATATTTTTAGTTATAGATGGACACAGTATATTTATTTATTTATTTTTATGTGATGCTGAAGATCGAACCCAGTGCCTCCATAGAGCTTTAAAGAATGTATTTGATATATGTTTTATGAGTTTATTCTTTGGTAAAACGTTTTTTTTTTTCTTTTTAGTACAGAGGGTTCAACCCAGGGTGCTTTACCACTAAGCTATATCCCAGCTCTTTTTATTTTTTGTTTTGAGATAGAGTCTCATTAAGTTAACGAGGGCCTCACAACATTGTTGAGGCTGGCCTTGGACTTGGGATCCTCCTGCCTCAGCCTCTGAAGTTGCAGGGATTGTAAAACATATTATTTTAAAGTTAGAAATTATAAACATACCTCAAGTATGTTTTCATAGCATGATATGTCATTTCCTGATGTTTAGTTTCTAATGTGGTTATCAGTGCCCCTGATTATCATAAGAAAAAGATCATTAGTATTCTTTTTGTTTCCAATTTTAGAGAGCATTTTTATCCCAGTGAAAAATGCCAAGTTGAGCTAGGCATGGTGGTCCACACCTGTAAACACAGTGGCTTGGGAGGTTGAGTCGGAAGGACCACAAATTCAAAACCAGCCTCAGCAGTTTAGCAAGGCCCTAGCAGTTTAGCAAGACATTGTCTCAAAATAAAAAATAAAAGGGCTGAGGATGTGGCTCAGTGGTTAAGCACCCCTGGGTTCCCACCCCCAAAAAAACCAAGTTAACATTTTTTGGAAACTAGAAATGCTCATTTTATTTATCAGTGGTAATAATTATTCACATCTAATTTTTCATTATATGATAATTCTTTGGAATATTATCATTAACAAAGATTCAATTAAGATATAGACTCTGATATTACAGTACTTTTCTTCCTAGCCAGGCACAGTGACACATGCCTGTAATCTCAAGTGACCCAGGAGGAAGAGGCAGGAGGATTGCAAGTTTGAGACCAGCCTCCACCACTTAGGGAGACTCTATCTCAAAAAAAATAAAAAAGAGCTGGGGATGTAGCTTCGTGATAGAACACCACTCAGTTTAATCCCCCATACCACCAGAGAAAAAAAGAAAAACATTTTTTTCTTTCCTGTCTTGTTCTCCTCTCTTAGTTTTGATGTAATCAGTGGCTAAGCCTTTCCTCTTTTACTTATGGGTGTTCCTACCAAAATTGACAAGTCTGCCATCTGGATGGTTATATTTGTTATGTGGGCACCTGTCGTCTGTGAACTAAATTGGAACTACAAGCTTATTCCATATAATATCCCTGTCATAATTAGCATGACTCCATGCAATTTGCAACTGGTATAGGCAATAAAAATAAAGTATATTATGACTATAAAATAATGTCAGTTCACATTAAGTATATAAGTTAATTGATTTCACAAGAAAAATCACAGTTTAATATAGTTCTGATTTTCCCTTTGTGATACCAAGAACAACAATGAAATTCCTAGACCTAAAACTTAATAAGCAACTTCAAGAAAACTTCCTTTGTGAAGATAAACTACCTTTTGTGTTATTTTTGTTTTGATTTGGTTTTGGTTTGGTTTTGTTTTTTACTAGGGATTGAACCCAGGGGTCACTTTACCACTAAGCCATATCCCTAACCCTTTGTATTTTTTTATTTTGAGACAGAATTTCACTAAATTGCTGAAGGTCTCACTAAATTGCTGAGACTAGTCTCAAACTTGCAATTCTCCTACCTTAGCCTCCTGAGTCACTGGGAATACAGTTGTACACCACCATGCCTGACTGAACTATCTGTTGTGAATATGAAAGTCTTTTAGAAAGAAATAAGTATTCTAAGTAACAGTGGTATTATCATAACTTAAAATTATAATTATTCAAATTACATTACTATAATTTGGCATAATTATTTCCAACCTTGATTTTGATGGGCTCCAAAAGTATTAAAAAGGAGAATCAATTCTAATACATCTAACTTTTTAAAAAATGTGTGTATAATACTGAGGGTTGATCCCTGGGCCTCCTGCATGCTAGGCCAGCTGTTCACCTCTGAACTATTTCTCAAATCTTTCATCTAATTTTTAAAATAGTGCCTTCCATCTAACTCTTTGAGGACATGGTGGAATTCAAGAAATTATAGGAGTAATATTAGAATATTACAATCTGTAATGGTTCCTAATACAGTCTCTACTGCATTAAAGATTATGTGGTATAGTAAACATTGATTGCCAATATTTATCAATATGCTCTTTTCTTTTGTTCTTAACATCTGTAGTTTATAATTAATAATTTACAGTTCACATCACCCAAATTTATATCTCCTACTTGAATTTCAGACTGATATATCCAGTGGCTTATGTAACATCTTCTGTTACAAATCTGGCTGGGCACAATTCAGGAGCCACTTGTCAAAGGAAACGAACTTTATTTTTAGAACACACACAGGGCACCACACAGCTCTTCAGGAAAACCCTCAGAGCTCAACTACCACCACCGGCTTCCCACAAGCCTCTCAACCTCCCCCCTCCTCCTGCTCTTGAGGCCAATTGGCTGGGTCCCGTGGGCGGAGCCAAAAAAAGTCCCCCGTGGTCTGAAAGGGCGGGGAAACAGCCCAATGAGCATCACTGCAGAGGAGCCAATCAGTTGGCAGCTAGAAGTTTGCTGGACGCTGTGAGCCAATCATCAGCTGGCAGCTGGAAGTTTGCTGGCAACTGGAAGTTTGCTGGGGTCCCTTGGGCTGTGGCTCTCAACACACCTACTTGTCTAATGGAAATCTCAAGCTTAACATGTCCAGAATAGAACTCCTGGCTAATCACCACTGTCACATCAAATACAAAATTTTCTCCCCAGTCTTCTCTATATGCTAAAAACCTATGTATATTGAGCTTTCCATAATTGATCCATTAGGTAACCTCTAAAATAAATCTTGATTCCAACTACATTCTCTTTATTGTCACCATTCTACCCAAAACCCACCATCATCTTTGTCCCAAACCTCAGGAATCTCCCTTCTAGTCACCCCCTTGGGATCCTTTTATATAAAGCAACCACAGTGTCCTTTAAATAACGCATTATATTACAAGGGGGACAAACGAATGTCAGTAAAGGGGGCAGAGAGAGAAGAGGGGAGGGGAGGGGAGGGGAGGGGAGGGGGGATAGTAGAGGATAGGAAAGACAGCAGAATACAACAGACACTAGTATGGCAATATGTAAATCAATGGATGTATAACTGATGTGATTCTGCAATCTGTATATGGGGTAAAAATGGGAGCTCATAACCCACTTGAATCAAATTGTGAAATATGATATATCAAGAACTATGTAATGTTTTGAACAGCCAACAATAAAAAAAATAAATAAATAAATAAATAAATAACGCATTATTATTCCTCTGCCTAGAACTATCGGTATTAGATACATTTAGTATCTAATCCAAAAATGCAATCCCTGAGCTAGGCTTCTAGGTTCATAAACAGCTCTCAGATCCAGTGGAATTCCTCTGAGAACTTGACCCTGACAACTTTTGCTCTATGTAATTTTTTAATATTTCTCTTTAATGTTTTTTTTTTTAATTCCAACATTTTTTTACTGCCTTCCCCAATCTCCAGTTCCTGTACTCACAAAGACTCAGTTTGGTTCTCTTTATGTGAAGATCCACTATTTATTTGCTTACATTATTGTCTGTCTCCAGCATGGAGACAGACAATGGCCTATGTAACATCTTCACCTACTTGTCTAATGGAAATCTCAAACTTAACATGTCCAGAATAGAACTCCTGGCAAATCACCACTGTCATATCAAATACCCAAATTTTCTCCCCAGTCTTCTCTATATGCTAAAAACCTATGTAGATTGAGCTACCAATAAATTGCTACATGTGCTGCCTTACCAAGCCTGTTGCTCTGCCTCAACCAAACCTAGCCCGTTCACACTGGAAGTGTGTTGTTTTGATTTTGGATTTATCTTTCTTATTCCTTATTGTCTTTCTAGCCTAGTTCTGGGAAAATAGTAGGCTGCTGGTAAACATTTTGAAAGAATGAACAAACACTAACTAATTTTTCTTTTTTTTTTTTTTAAGACCTAGCTATAATGTTTTTAACTATACTTTTAAGTATAACTTATTTTATCTTAATAATTCTTCAAATAGACAGCCTCAACCATTTCCAGGACACAAACAAAAATGAAGAAGATGATTCTCAAATAGACATCTCCAAAAAAGTACAAGCTAGCTTAGACTGTGACAAACAAGTCATTGCACAGTATGAACCTAACCAGTTGGCTAATAGCAAGGAAGAAATGTCAGAAGTTGAGAGGGAAGACAGGCTCCCGGCCCAATCAGGTAATGCTAAGTCCTGTTTCTATTTACAGTGTTCAAATAATAACCATGTATTTTAACGTAGTATCATTTTGGATTTGTGATTGATGCCTTATTCTAGATGCCTTTTATTCCCTTTTATATTAAAAATGCCAACTATTCATAACCATATTCTTAAACACCAGATGATTGGAAGATCAGAGTGTGTCTGTTGGCATTCAGATACTACACATGGAGCAAAACCAGTAAATTGCTACATGTGCTGCCACCAAGCCTGTTGCTCTGCCTCAACCAAACCTAGCCCATTCACACTGGAAGTGTGTTGTTTTGATTTTGGGGTGGTGCTTTTGGAAAAATAGTTAAGATTGACAGATAAAGAATTCCTTAATAAATCATTAATTCTTTATATATGGAGGCTTTTAAATGGCTACACTTAATTGGCATTTTTTTTAATTTGAGAAATTGTTTTTAAGGTATGTAATTTTTAAAACTCTATGAATCATAACTACACTTGGAACCAACCATCTAGTGTTTCAGATGTATTTATTTGTTGCTTGATTCCATTCATTATTTATAACTGTGATAGTTAGCAAATACCAGCCTGTAGTCATACATCACTATCTTTTATGCACCAGCTGGCAAAAATCCGTGGGCACTTTTGGGTTGTTTTTCTTGTTACTCATTTAGGGACCACAGTAACCTAAAGATTGATATTCCTATTAAAACCAGCTCAAAATTGTTGGGATGAGTCTGCTGAAATTTTTATTGTTTGTGGTTGTTAAACACTGATATAATTTAGAATCAGATTCATAGCTTTAAAATGAAATGTTCATTAAGGAATTTCTGAGCTCAAATCATCCTCTTTTCTTCCTTTGCTCCTTCAGTTCCTTCAATTCCTCAAGGGTTTCCCAAGAATATATTGAAGTGAATCCTGCTTAGGTCTAATTTTAGCAGCCTTTAAATAGACAGTATAGACTCAGATGGCATATACTCTTATGTCCAGGTTCCTTGTTCCTGCTGCAAATAAAACCTTAAGTGCTGATGAAGCTCTGGATGTAGGATATAGTCCACTCTATAGTGGACTATAGAGTAGCATCATCACCTGGCAGTTGTCAACTGGGCCAAGAGTCTTCATCTATGACAGGGAAACATTGGCTTGTTAGCTATAAATTGGTCTCTTGATGGAGACATGTTTTAGCTTATACTGACAGTACTTTAAAAAAAAAATCACCAGACTTAGAAATTCATTTCAGACAGTGAAATTTACATCGGCCTTATCCATTCTAGACAATACCAGCATTTTCCCCTTTACCTAGCCCTGTTTTGTTTTTGACTTTTCAGATCACTGGGATGATAATTCCACATAAGTCATAGGCTTCACATCTTCCCACTAATGTGGATTAGAAACAAAAAAGAAGACAAAAAAAGGCACACTAAGTTAAAATGCTTATTCTTCTGATATTTGCTATTTTAGAACCAGAGTAATGTGTAGTACTCTGGAACAATAGTTTTGTTCTAACTGGAATTCCTGAGGTCTGGAAGAATGGATTTATCTTCAAAAGATACATCATCTGTATTTTTGAACCATAAAATTACCCTTCATAAGAACACTGAAAAGAGAAATATATTCCTGTAATGTAGTTGTCAGCTACCAAGAATGAATATCAACTGATTTGGGGTTCTTATAATTCTTCTCAAAGAATGACTTCTGATCCTTGAGCATAGTTTATCAAAGTTGAAGACACATTAATTATTAAGACACATTACTTATTTTATGGACCATTAAGAACGAGAAAAACTCTGCCAATTAAACTATGACAAAATATGTTTATGATAGCCTAGACCTGGCCATACCATCATCTGTTCATTTTGACATTTTTGTTCATTTGTTTACTTTGAGGATTTGGCATTATCTCATGTCTCCAGTTGCTTTGCTTGGCATTGTAAGAGGCAAACCTTTTGCACATCTCAGTAACCACATGTAAGACAGCTTCTTCTATTTGAAGACATCTCTTTTTCTTAGATCCCATGAAGCATTCAGTCACTCTTTTGCAAGAAAGTAAGAAATTGAGGTTATTTCCCTAGCGATACATATTTGCTTTTTAAATATCAAACCTACATTCTCCTGCTCTATATTCAAATTTTTTGAACTATGCTGACTTTTCATTTTGATACCAAATCATACTGAAATTTTTTGAAGACATCTTGAAGTTAATTAAAATCAATATACATAGTAATAACAATGCATGCACCTCATGTGCAGTTTTGAAGTGACAATAGTATTTTAGTTCTAACTAAGCTCATACATACTCAGGCAATGATACCAACTTCACAACTGCCACCTGGCCAGCAATGATTGTGAGAAGCAGATATTATTATTATAGACTCATAAGACACATCAATTTCAGAGTTATTAAAGTACATTTTTAAATTTATGAAGTATAGGAATAAACCATAAATTTGTGAAATGGCCAATGCCATGACATTACCAAGTGGAATGGCAGACAAATCATACACTTCCAGATCTGGAAAGTAATTAAAAGAGTTACTAAGGAAATGTGGCTGAGTTAAGAGTACCAGCTCTAGAGTGAGATTACTGAGTTTACATCTTCTTACTAGTGATGTAACCTTGGGCAAGTTAATGTGCCTTGGCTTCTTCCTATTTAAAATGCACTATTGCCAGGTGTGGTGGTGCACACCTGTAATCCCAGCAACTCGGGAAGTTGAGGCAAGAGGACCACAAGTTCACGGCAAGCCTGGGCAACTTAACAAGACCCTGTCTCAAAATGAAAAGCAAGAAGGGTTGGGGATGTAGCTCAGTGGTAGAGTATTCTTGGGTTCAATCCCCAGTACCGCCAAAACACACATACACACAGCCTACAATGCACTATTTATTTGTGAGAGATATACTGAGGACAGTACTTAGAACAGTGCCTGGTACATTGTATGTTCTTGATAAGTATTAACTATAATTATTATTTAGACTTGATCTGATAATCTTCTCTCCTGCAGAATATTGGACAGTGGGACTGAGGAAAGATTAAATAATTATCAGAAAATACACTTTTATAACTCATCACCAGGCCATAGGAAATCAGGTATTTAGCTGGCCTCCAATATAGTGTATTGCTACCAGTAATCAAAGTGGTGCCCATTCAGTCTCAACTTCAATATACACTAGCAAAAGGGATAGATTTAAAATTCCTTCAAGACTGGTAACAACTCCTGGTGGCAAGAAAGTGTCCCTTATGCCTAACTTTTATCTTTTCAGCTAATTCTGAGTCTGCTTCTTGTTGAGTCATTAGCAAAAATGAAAAGCAAACAGTTACCACAGATGCTGATGTTTGGATGACTTACCTTGGGAGTTTTACTTCAAGCCTGCAAACATGTTCTTTGTAAAATATGTTGATATTTTTAATATAGGCTATTTCATCATTCTACCCTGTAAAAGTTTTTTTTTTTTTTTTTAAAGCTATTTTAGGTAGAGGGCAGACAAGCCTTAAGATTTTCTTTCATTGTCTTTATTAGAGCAGTTGAAGAGTTCAGACATTCTGCCAGTATATGATACCTTAATGTTTTGTGCAAGTAAGAATACTGACCGGATTCACCTCTATACTAAGGTAAGCATCATGCAGAATCTGTAGCTTGAAACATAAAAATGGCTTCCTTTTTTAATTTTTCAATGAAGATATTTAATTTTATTTATAATAAGGTAGGCAGCTAGTTTTTTTTTATCCTTAAAGAAAAATTCCTGTGTTAAATCTAAAGACAAATCAAAGGCAAAATCAGTCACTAAGAGCATTTACTTCGGGATAAGGCTGTCTCAGTTCAAATCTTTTACTGTCATTTTGGACACTTAACTGCTCTGTGCTTCAATTTCCTCATCTATAAACTGTGGAGGGGATTTGTTTCAAGGATAAAATGAGCTAAGTCCTATCAAAAACCTAGCCCATTGTCCAATCCTCATGAACTCTGAATAAGTTTATTCCTGCACAGATCATTTGAAGCAGCCAAAGCAACTACTTCTTTACAGAAGCCTAACTCACTTCTCCATACAAAATAAAGGTGGAAACTTTTGTATATGATTGTTCAGATTCCTGCCATAGCTTATATTAGTGGCACTCAAATGTTTTGGTTTCAGACTCCTTTGTACTCCTTAAATTTGTTGAGGGACTCCAAAGAGCTTTTGTTTGCATTGATATTTACTGTATTCAAAATAAAAATGAAAATCAAATTCCTTGCATGTATGATTTTGTCAAAATGAACCCAACTACTACGTGTAATTATAATGCTCTAATTAGAAAAGAAAGGGGAGGCAGCCTTAGCTCTAACACTGTAGTGGATCCGAAAGGTGAAGCAGCTGGAGGCTGGCAGGTAACTGCATTCTGGAAGTTGAATGGAGATTCTTTTATTTATTTATTTTGGTACTTGGCATTGAACCCATGGTGCTTTACTACTGAACTATATGCCCCGTCCTTTTTATTTCTCATTTTGCAATAGGGTCTTCCTAATTGCCTCCAAAAAAAATTGAAATGAAGATGCTTAAAAATATTCATTTATTAATCCATTTAAAAGTAATGATAGTAAACCCAGAAAAACTTAAACTGAAAGTTTGGTTAGCACCAACATAAGTTATCATTTAAAAAGCTTTCTTTCAACAGAATGGACCATGGCTTTAAAAAGTTATGAGTATTATTACTTTTTAAAATATTTTTATATATTTATATAAGTAACATGTTTTATGAAAAATAACTTATATTTTCCAAAACAGAAAAATATTGAGAAAAGAGGTACTTTTTTCATTGTTGGCAGTTCTCTCTAAAGTCTCAATAAAAAATAATGGTATTCTTATATCTGCCTCTGCATTTGTTTTGTTGTGCTATATCTTGGTAGCTGCTGGGAAACTTCACCATCTGATAATGATATAATGAGAGTTTAAAAGGCAAATAATATCTTACTTTTATTACAACTACACTTGTGTCTTTGTGGACCCCTGAGAGGGTCTTGGAGACCACATGGGAATCTTTGTCCATATTTGAGGAAAAATTCACAGATTTTAAGTACTTTTATTAGTTCTACAATTTCAAATTTCTAATCCTTGTAAGTTAAAATAATATTCATGGGCTGGGGCTGGGGCTCAGCAGTAGCACACTTGCCTGGCATGTATGAGGCACTGGGTTCAATTCTCAGCACCACATATAAATAAATAAAATAAAGATCTGTTGACAACTAAAAAAAAAAAAAAGTAAATTTTTTATAACTTCTACACCATATTGCCTATGAAGCAGAAGACAGAATGAATTATAAACTTCTCTAATATAGTATTTTATATTGAGTCATACATGGCCTCCAATAGCATGAATATCACAAACATCTTTATTCCAATAAATAAATAAATTAAATAAAGGTCTATCAACAATTTAAAAATATTTTAAAAAGTAATAATACTCATAAATTTTTTAAGCCATGGTCCATTCTGTTGAAAGAAAGCTTTTTAAATGATAATTTATGTTGGTGTTAACCAAACTTTCAGTTACAGATTTTCTACTAAACCAAATACAGATAGATAGTCAGATAGATAGACAGGCAGAGACACCAAGAACCAACCTAGGTAGTAGTCAATGTTCCTCATGTAAGCATGGACCCAGGCCCACCCTGTGGATCGTCTAGAAGTGGTGAGCTTGGCAGGGGAGTATCAAGGACTCCTCTGTTCCTTTTCAGACATATTAAAGTTTCTAAGCTATCCTCATCCCTTGTGATCAGGAGCTCTAAGCTGTGCCTCTCAGAACATCATGTGAGAGGAACAGATGTGATTCCCAGAAGATCTTGAAGATAGAGAAGCCAACAGGCAGCCAACCAGTCAGAGCACACCAGGAATTTAGAAGCCCTTAAATTTTTTAAACATTTTATTCTATTACAGTGAAAGCTCAGCTTCCTGGACAATCTGATCACTGTTTTTTTCTCTTTGGAGTAGAGACAGGGAGAGTAATTAAAATTCCTGGTAGAGGCTAGACTGTGCCTGCTATCAACCAAACTGCCATCTAGCTTGTGTAGCTTGGCCTACTTCACCTTCTTGGTATTTCTGTCAGTAATCTCAAATATATTTTTGTGACTCTTTTAGGTACTTACATGTCCTTAAAATGTATCATTAGGGCTGGGGCTGTAGCTTAGTGGTAGGGCATTTGCCTTGCATATGTGAAGCACTGGGTTTGATCCTCAGCATCACATAAAAATAAATAAAGATATTTTTAAAGTTATTAAATTGCTAAAATTTTCTGAACATGAGACACTGTGCAAATAAAATGCTAACATGTTTTTTCACAGCTACAGTTGTTTGAAATGAAACCTTTCCTTTTTACCTTAGAAAAAATAAAGTAACATCTACCAGTAGAAATTTGACTTAAAACCTGGTTCCCTACCTAAGAGTAAAAGACAGATTGGTAACAGATATTTAGCATTCTGTGCCAATTGTGTTCATTTCATTCATAATCCCAAATCTAGGATTTAGAATTGTATACTACATATCTGAATTTAGACTTATATATTAAAATTACCTGTCTAGACTTACAAATTGCAATTATGTATCTAAATTTTTAAGAAGTAAGTACTTATCTTTGTTTTTTCCCAAAGTGATTGTGGGAGCTGTAACATTTCTTTTTGGCTAAGAGATTTAGAATATGACCTCAACTGTTATTGATATAATAGATTTTTGTATAAGACACGATTCTTCCCCTTTAAAAAAGAAATAACTTCTATTTATGTTCAATTGACTATACCCTGTACATGGTTACTTTTTACCCTTAAAATTTCAGCATATTGTGCAACTGATTATTGGACTCTGAATTCAGGTCCACTTATTCTCTGGGTAGTGCCGTTGACTCAGTCCTCATGGACCAACATTGCAACATTGCTTTAGGGAAGCAAATGTTTTAATAATTTCTCTAGAATTTCTCTGTCTAGTTTCTCATTCCTGTAACAATAGATAGATATATCAACCCATCTAGGGAAAGCTTTTTAGATTATTTCTTAGTACCCTTCTTTAATATGAGACATATTTTCCAATGATTGTAAATAAGTTTATTTGTGAATTAAAAAGTGTTGCACTACTGTTGACTTCAAGGAAGTGATATTGTTCTGAATCAATTGACAATGTACAAATTTCATTGTTTTGATATAATATTTCCAAGATTAGGCAAAAGAGAAGAGTAAGACAGGGCAGTAAGCACAGCATCCCTAGCTGAAGGCAGCAGGCCTGGGCTAGGTGTGGGCAGTGTGGACACACATTCTCACCTTCCCATCCTTCTAAGGAGCCATGTGGAGTAGACTCTTGAATGTGCCACCAAGTAATCTTTTAGGAGTTTGGACATACTACACCATAATTAATTATTTTCTAGCATCTATGATAAAAATGGATTAATAATGTCTTCCTAATCTATAATTAGGATGGAAAACAGATGAACTGTAATTTCATTCCTTTGGATATAAAGTTAGACCTTTGGGAAGACTTACCAGCAAGTTTTCAACTGAAACAGAATCGCTCACTGGTAAGAACAGTTTTAAATAAAATAGTTATATTAGTTTTAAATGCAAAATTTTTTAGGAATTTTAGCAATCATTTTGAGTTTAGTAAAATAGTGCTTCATGGCCTATTGCAGAATCAAATTGCTGGTTGCATTTTTTATCAATCCAGGCAGTGTCTATTAATTGCCCTGTGCTAAGAATAAATGTGAAATCTGTTTCCTTGGCGAGCGATCACACCTAGAGCTGCTGTTTCTGTAGATAGAATCATCCTCGCATCATTTAATTTCTCATTCACAGGATTAGCAACTGTGTTATTTGTATCTGTCAGAATCACATTTTATCTTTTAAAGTTAAGTTCTAACAATGACAAATTTTGAGAGCAGGAATAATCACACATTGGACAACTCTTTTTTTTAATATTTTTTAGTTGTAGATGAACATGATACTTTTGTTTTATTTTTTTTTTAATGTGGTGCTGAGGATCAAACCCAGTGCCTCACATGTGCTAGGCAAGTGCTCTACCACTGATCCACAACCCCAGCCCCCACATGGGGCAACTCTTGATTCATTGTCAGAAGCACCAGCATGCAGCTCCAAGCCAGGTAACTGCCAGGGAGGTCTTATGCTTGTTTGTGACTGATTTGCCTTCGCTGCTAATGGTCATCATGTTGTAAGACTGACCCAGCATGCAATCTACCTTTATTACTATTTTTTAAACAGGGAAATAGTGATTTTTTTAAACTCTTTGAATGGAAATGAAGCATTACCCAGTGGTCAGCTACACCTGTTATAAAGGAAAAGGAAGCAACAAGCTATTTTCTTGATAATATATAATCCTGACTCTCAAATTCCCCCTACAAAAAAATAACTAGTTATGTATGATTGACTAATAAGTAAGAGCAATGCTGATAAAAATGTCCCGGATTTTATGACTTTTTTTTTCCCCCATAGCAACTCAATCATCAGATACAAAATGATTCTCGGATGCTATACGATAGCATCTTTTAGATAGAATCATTTTCTTGCCACCACTGCAAGACCTACTGTCCGTAAGACCAATTTTGCCTTGGCTGCTGCTAGAGTATATGCTTCTAGATTCTTCTCAGTGAGCACATTATCATTGTTGATTCCTGTGTATGTTAATGACATACACCAGGTGTGCTAATCATAGATAGTTTACAATAAAGGTATGAAAACTGTATTAAACCAACCCTTAAATTGTGGAAGTCAAAAGCCTGTTTCAGGGACATAACAAGACATCAATTTTCTCGTGTTGTTAACAGCCTTATTCTGAAAGGAAGATGACCAGTGAGCTGCTAACTCTTTTAAAATTATTTCATTTTTCTGCCAGATTTTGCGGTTTGTTCGAGAATGGAGTAGTCTAACTTCCATGAAGCAAAGGATAATAAGAAAAAGTGGGCAGTTATTTTGCAGCCCCATCCTTGCTTTGGAAGAGATCACAAAGCAACAAAACAAACTAAATAGTACTAAACGGTATGAGTTCTTTTCCTTTTTTCTTTTGTATTGTATTATTTTTCATAGTTATTTCTATAAGAGGTCTGTGACATCTTATGTAATCACTAATGAAATCTTGATGAGTTAAGAAAAGTCTCTACATAAAATCTAGCAACATAATTAGATATTTAATGAATTTGCTAAAATTCACTGGAAAAGATCAGATTGGGGGCTGGGGTTGTGGCTCAGTGGTAGAGTGCTTGCCTAGTATGCGTGAGGCACTGGGTTCAGCCCTCAGCACTACATAAAAATAAAATAAAGGTATTGTGTTCACTTACAACTAAAAAATATATTTAAAAAAAAAAAACATCAGATTGTCCAGATCTAGCCCATCGTGGGTCCCACTCATCAATCGAGAGGTCAGTCACAGGTTAGTGCAACCTGTGACCTGCTAAGCCTATTAACGACAGGAAGACAATCACTCTTAAAACATCAGCATGATCTTGGACCCCATCTCTTTTGCCTTGCACGCATGTGGCATGAATTGCAGGTGCCATGCATTAGGGGAGCTGGTTTTATTTGAAATACCATCACTTTCAAAGTAACGGAAGGTTAACTACCATGATTGGAATTGAAATAAAAAGGTTAGCTGTCACACATTTGTTATCATTTGCTTTTATCATTACAGGACCCTTTCTAATCCTTTGTACATCTACTTTCCTTTCATGACATCACAATAATCTTTATCTCACTCAAATATCTTTTGGTGTGATCTGAAATCCAGATTCTTTATATTCTTTTCTTAGCATGAAGCAAGGATTATCAGGAAAAGTAGTTAGCTGCTCTCTGCACTTTGGAAGAGATTACAGAACAATAAACCAAACAGTAACAATAGCAGAGAAAGCCCTTCATTTCTTGCTGTCTCTATACACCTGTAACATATTCCTATCCTTACATTCCATCACTTTACAGATGAAAAAAAAAATCAATGGTATGGGGCGTAGATGATTAAATAAAGTTAGCACCATTCAGTGAAAATGTCTTCAACTGTTTCAGTGCATGGCATCAGGTACATCTATGTGTCAGAACAAGGAATGATACTTATAATAAGTTGTTAAGAATAAAAATAAGTATTAAAATAATGATAGAAATACAAACATTTACTTGCCAGTTTTGACCTGGAAATTCTCTGGAAGGACACCTTAGAAACTCACTAGAGGTTTCTCTAGAACAGTGGTTCTCAACTGGAAGCAATTTTGCCCCCCCCCCCCCCCCCCCGAGGGTTGCAATCTGGGGAGACACTTTCAATTGTCATGACTAGAGAGTGCAACTAGGGATTATCTTGTGGTACAGTTCCAAGATGCTCATGAAAATCCTTCTGTAAATAGGTCTATATCCCCAAAGAATTTTCTGTCTTAGAATGCCTATAGTGCTACTGTTGAGAAATCTTTCTTTAGGGCATAAAGTTAGGTAGTTTGTGAAGGTGAGAGTCACTTTATGTTTTATGCCAGAATTACAAACTCATGACTAAAAACAAAACAAGAACCTGAATGAATGAATGAATGAGGTTAGGTTTAAAACTAGAAAAGGGTGAGGTTGGGGCTGAGATGATGGCAAATTGGAAAGTGCATAACCCATCTAAAATCACTCAAGTTCAGATTTAAAAATAAAATACTTTCTAAGCCAAATAAAACTCTCTGAATGATTTGGTTTATCCATAAGTTGTAAGTTTTGTCCTCGTATCTAAACTCTTCTGTACTAGTTTAATTTCCCCATACTTTATATAACAAATACAAATGAAATGTATGTGTATACATTGTACATATATGTACATACATGCCAACCTACAAAAGTATACACACACGCACACTTAATGTCAAAAAACATTCCTATTTTATTTTTTTCAATATTTCTTCCAATCCTCTCCACTTTTCTCATTTTTGTAATTGATCTTCTCTTTCTTACATGATTGTAATTCCCTTCATAACTGAATTTACAGCCCACTCCAACCATTTCTAAGTGTGCTATATTTTGTTTCTTTATCAGATATGGATGACCACTTAAAATACTAGCTGAGAGAGATGACTGATCATGTATAAAAGGAAATATGAACTCATAAAATCAATATAAACCAAGCTCAGACCCACCACATTTTATAAATGGCATTTATAAAATTAAATATAGATGATATGTTTAAGCTGTATCTTGTATTAGCAAGCATCAGATGAAATCATTAGATTTGTATCTGTAAGAGCTCACTCTGGCAGCAGTTAGGAGATTAGATTAAAAAGGGCAAGACTTGAAGTGAGAAGACAAGAAACATTTATTTTCTATTACTACCATAACAAATTACCACAAATTCAGCATCTTAAAACAACACAAACTTGAGGCTATGGTTATGGCTCAGTGGTAGAATGCTTACCTAGCATGTGTAAGGCATTGGGTTCAATCCTTAGCACCGCATAAAAATAAATAAATAAAATAAAGGTATTGTGTCCATCTACAAACAAAAAAAAATTAAACACATATTTTTTATCTCACAGTTCTAAAATAAGTCAGAAGTCCAAGTTGACTCTTGCTGATTTTTCTGCTCTGAATTTTAGGCTAAAATCAAGGTATTGACCACATGGACTCTAATTATTAGGCTTGGATAAGAACCCATTTCCCAGCTTATTCGGATTTTTGGTAGAACTCAGTTCCCTGTATTTGTAGGACTGAGTTCCAGTTCCATCCAGGCTGTCAGCTGGTTGTCACCATCAGCTCATAGAAGACTCTCTCTGGTCCTAGCACATGAGCCTCTGCATATCAGGGCCATCAACAGAGTGTCACATTGTTCTCTGCTTAGAATCTGTCCTCATCTTCTGCTTTTAAGACTTCCAGTGGGCTGGGGATGTGGCTCAAGCGGTAGCACACTCACCTGGCATGCGTGCGGCCCGCGTTCGATCCTCAGCACCACATACAAACAAAGATGTTGTGTCCGCCAAAAACTAAAAAATAAATATTAAAATATTCTCTCTCTCTCTCTCTCTCTCTCAAAAAATAAAAATAAAAATAAATGAATAAAATATTTTTTTAAAAAAAGTTAAAAAAAAGACTTCCAGTGATTATATTGAGTCCACCTAGTAATCTCCCAGTCTTAAAAATCAGCAGATTAGAAACCTTAATTATATCTGCCAAATCCCTTTATAGCATTACCTAGATGAATTTATTGAATAGCCTGATAATAGAAATCTTAAAAATTTCCTAAATATAAAATCTTAAAAATTCTCTTACAAGCCAGGCATAGGCAGCACACATATTTGTAATTCTAACAACTGGGTAGGCTGAGACAGGAGGATTGAAAATTTGAGGCCAGCCTGGACAACTTAATAAGACCCTATCTCAAAATTTAATAATGCAAAGGTCTGAGGATGTAGCTAGTAATGACAACAACAAAATTTTATCTGCCACCCCAAATTAAAAGACTCCTGATGAGGCTCTCTGTTAAGGCATTAGCAATGGGAATGGAGGGAAAAGAATGAAGAGAGCTATTAAGGATATGTATCTAGAGTCCTTGGTGTCTGAATAAAGAAATGCAAAGAGGGAGGCCTCCATGGAAACCAACTTAGCAGAGCCACAAATGCTACCCCCACAATGAAATGTATACACCTGCAGAGGGGAGGTACAATCAGGAGCACTCTGATTCTTATAGCAGAACCTCAGTAAGTCTCAGTATTTTGGAAAATCATATATCTCAGAAAGCAGGTATGAAAGATAGGGCTGAACAACAGAAAGTCTGTATGAGGAGCAATTAGACCCTGGATCTCTTATCTCTCTCATTACTTTCTAGAGAAACCAAACTAGAGAGCCTCCAGACTTGGAGATAAGGAGAGAAGCATTATACTGAAAAATGAAACCATACTATGTATATAACCAGAGATATGAAAAATTATGCTCTATATGTGTAATAAGAATTGTAATGCATTCTGCTGTCATTTATAAATAAATAAATAGAAAAATGAAACCCCTTAGACCCATTTCTTCACTTAGCTTCAAGAATACCAGCAACCACATTTTACTTCCTAGGCAGCAAGGAGGAGGATTCATCTCTTTAAAATATTAAGTGGCTTTAAAGAAAAAAAAAAAAAAAGAGGTAGTTACTGAGTTTGGAAATTCCCCCAAAAGCTATGGTTAGGTCTCCAAGATTATTCTTCTATGATTCCACCAATTTGCAGGCCTCAACCAAGCTGAGGTAGCTTCTGGATGACTCACTCTTAGATGTGAATGGAAGCCAAAGCCACCAGCCATTGTTGTTCTAGAGATAGGTATGATTTAGTGGGAGAGCAGTTATTATTAGAATGCCAACTATTTATCCTCTACCTATAAGTGATCTGTAATACAGGTCAGCAACCCAGAACCCAGGACTCTATCCATTAGTGTGGACCACTTTCCAGTGCACAATTTTCTTGTAAAAGATTGCCATATTCCACTCCCATCCTTATTCAGGAATTAATTTAATTTATGACATTCTTTCTTCCCTATTTGCAAAAAATGACAAGTTGGAATATTTACATGGACTTCCTAGCAAACATTAATGGAAAATTAAATATTGGCAACTTGCAACTAAGTTTGAAACATTGTCAGCTTCCTTCTTTTGGGTCTATTGATCTGTTTCTTATGGTTTGCAAAAACTTACGCTTAAAGCTTAAACGTTTTATACAAAAGAAAGAGGTTATTTTTGGTTCCTAAATCTCTGGCCAGATTTCTCAGCATCTTTTAAAGTTACTGAATAAGGTTTCTAATCTTTTAAACTTTGAATAATACCTGAGGCAAGGCTTAATATCATATTGCCCCTCAAAGCTAGGAAGGTTTTTGAGTACATTTAAAATCCACAGAAAAACTTTAGCAAAGAACTCTTGTCAAGGGAATAAAAGGGTTGGGAAAAAAAGTGAGGGGATGTTGAGGAAATATAGGAACTAAAATGTCAAGTTAAAGAGCTCAAATAATTCACTGTGATTTAACTTCTTTTGCTTTAAAAAACACACACAAGTGGAAATGCAAACATGTGGAAAGATACCTGTACACACATTTAAATTTATGACATTAAAGTCATAAGGAGATACCTATTACTATTAGCAGAGATTTTTTAAGTGACATGGTTGCACTAGTGAAAGTGTGAGAAAACTTCCTTTTGTTGCTGATAGAGATGTGCACTGGTACAGCCTTAAAAATACCCAAGACTTTTAACCCAGGAATTCTATTGTGGAGACTTATTTTACATATACTTTATGTGTATAAAACATACACACACATACATATACACACATTGTTGTGATAACAAAAACTAAAAATTACTAAGAGCCCATTAGGTATAATGGTTTATCCAAATAATTGGCCAACATGGAACCATTAAAAAGAATAGAGCAGGGCTAGGGCTGCAGCTCAGTGATGGAGCGCTTGCCTCACATGTATGAAACACTGGGTTCCATCCTCAGCACCACATAAAAATAAATAAATAAAGGTATTGTGTTCACCTACAACTAAAAAAAAAAATTAAAAAGAATAGAGCAACTCTGTATGTACTGATACATAAAGATCTCTGAGGTGTAGATTGAGGCAAAAAGAGCAAGGTGAAGATTAGTGTCTACAGTATACTATCATTGATTTCTAAAACTAAAAAGTGTAATGGGGAGGGAGTGCTCATGGACATAAGTTTCAGAAGTGGGGAACTGGATGAAAATATTCTACAATCAGTGATGATGGTGTCACAACCTTGTGAATATATTAAAATGCAATAAATTGTAAGCTTTAAATTGAGCAAATTTTATAGTATATGATTATAGGTCAATATAAATGCAAAAATAAATAAAAGGTACACACATATACACAGAAAAAATTAACTGTTTCCAAAAAAACTTACCAAAAACTGACAACAGGGTGAATTCTGGGATAGAAATGAGAGGAAAACTCACTGTTTACCATGTAAACTGCTGTATGCCTTTTAAGTTTGAAACTATGCCCATGTATCACCTAATCAAAAATAAATAAAATAGTTTATAGGAAAAGGGAAATCTGTTTATCATTAAATCGTCCTTAATAAAATAAAGACAGATTTCTAAAATATTACCTATAACTGCACAATTCCATTGTGATTTAACTCTAATTTTATTGTTAAACTGCCAAATGAAGATCTACTCAAATATAAAGAAATTCATATTTAATTTAATTTTCTAGAAATCTACAAAAAATAGGTGCAAACTACAGAGAAACTGGGCCGAGCTAATTAGGAGGAATTAATTGGGTAATTGTATTCCCCCATCACCTTTAATTAGAATTACTTTCCTCTTTACTTTCAGTCCCTAAACCATTGTGTCGTATTGACATTGCTGTGTAATAAAGTTCTGAATCCCACATTACTGGCTTTGTTTCAGTAAAGTTTCCATAAACCTTGTATGAGCTAATACTAATGGGAATAACCTTGAGATTGTAGGAAATGTGATAAAACTTGGTTAACTTAAAAAAAAAAAAAAATCACGGGGCTAGGAATGTAGCTCAGTTGGTAGAGTGCTTGCCTCGAATACACTGGGTTTAATCCCCAGCACCACACACACACACACACACACACACACAAATCACTTTACCCAAAACACTGATGATTTAGGTGATTTGGGGAAGCCTTGAAGAGAAGGTCAAGAGGGAGGTAAAAAATGCACTTGGAAAGTTTCTGCACAGCCTGGCAAGCAGTTTTCTTTAGGCTGTCAGATATGCATGTATTTGGTCATTTTTTATCCTCACACCCACTTCTTTTTTTTTTTTTTTTTTTGAGAGAGAGAGAATTTTAATATTTATTTTTTTTTAGTTTTCGGCGGACACAACATCTTTGTTTGTATGTGGTGCTGAGGACACAACCTGGGCCGCACACATGCCAGGCGAGCATGCTACCGCTTAAGCCACATCCCCAGCCCATAAATTTTGAAAATTGATCCAAAAGGTAGTGAATGACTCTTGAATTTCTTAGAGAAATGATTCTTGAGAAAATGAATCTGGAAGAGAGATGTTTTTCCCACATAATGGTCAATGTAAAGGGTGAACACTACATTTCCTAATTCTAGTATTAACACAAAAATGGAATTGTATCTTTCTTTTGCTCCTACTGCTTTTGTAAGGGGCATCATGAACATGAAATAGAGAAACCTTTATGTGAGGGATGGGAAATCTACTTAACATGTAATTGTTCTAGATATATAACCAAAGAAGATGTTGCTATAGCCTCGATGGACAAGATGAAGAATGATGGGGGCCATGTCCGTCTGATCACAAAGAAGTCTGGGCCGTGCGTCTATTCCACAAAGTAAGGACATAAGTACTAAGAATAGTACCTTAAATTTATACATTAATTTTTGTAATAATACCTCACCTTTGTGTGGTCACTTTAGAGGTTACAAAGAGCTTTCACATTTTAGTAGCTCTTTAGTCCTTCTAACAACACTGTGAAGCAATGAATTCATTATCTTAGGATTAGAGACAAGGAAGAACTCTGACACCAACTGGCCTAAGTGGCCTGTCTCAGACCTGGATGGAAGATGCCAGGAGACATGAGGTCAAAACTGGATTCTGCCCCTCAATCTTGATGTCTTTCAACCTTAAAAAGCTTATCTTTTTAACCTTCCAATGACCAACCATGAAAAATAAGCAAAGCAATTATTGTTACTTCACAGTGTAGGTCTCTGCAACACAATCGAGTACTGTGCCTTTCCTTTGTTTCTAATAAATTGAGATATGTCCCATCATGTTTCATTTCTAATTTTAATTTGATCAACTCTAAGCTTTCCCGTAGGAGACATGATATTTAGCAAGCGTTTTGTTCTAATTCCTATCAGCACTATCAGCTACATCACTCCATCACTTTTTGGTTATAAAAATTCACTACATCTTGTAAGCCAGCAGATACTAGACAAGTGTTAGTATGACCTCTTTGGCCTAATGAGGTATATGACGGAATATAGTTAGATAGCAGGATAGCCACTGAACTTTAGTTGGTGTTTCTCATTAGCCTGTTCTTTCCCAGCCTAAAGAAGCATTTCTTAACTTCTCATTTTCCAACTTCTCCAGATGTTTCAAAATCCATTTGTTTAACATAGAAGCATCTAAATTCTCAAGAGAGGCAGCATATATCAAATCAATTTTTGTAATACACCACTCTTCTTTGCTTGGCATGGCATATAGAGAGCTGACTACAGCTATTTCATCTCCACACTAAATCACAAAATGTGTGGACCCTGTATTACTACTTATCAATGTAAAAACTAAAAGCCTTTATTTGAAGCAATAACTTTGGTATATACATTTGTTGGTTACCTATTCAATGTTTTGTCCAATTATAGAAACCTTCTTGAAGATGGATCCTGTGTCCCACTTCCAAATCCCTCCACAGCACCAGCTGATCTCAGTATAGCCAAAGGCTATTTGCAAGCTGTGGATAATGAAGGAAATCCTCTTTGCCTTCACTGTCAGCATCCCACTTTCCAAACTAAGCAAGAGTGTAAAGCAAATGCTTGGGATTCACGGTTTTGCTCCCTGAAATGTCAGGAAGAATTTTGGATTCGATCTGATAACAGTTATATGCGAGCCAGAGTATTTGAAATTGAACATGGTGTGTGTCAGCTATGTAATGTGAATGCACAAGAACTCTTTTTATGTCTGAGAGATGCACCTTTAAGCCACAGGAAGAATCTTCTGGATGCCACCTGGACCTCAAAACTCCCATTGGAACAGGTAAATTGTAATCAAGTAACAGAAAGTATCTTTGTACTGAGTGATGACTATTGACTCGTTAACTTTATTTTTTTTTAATTTTTTAACATGGGCATTTTCAAGTATATATTCAAAAGTAGAAAGAATAATGAACTTATGTTCCCATCATCCAGCTTTAATGGTTTTATCCACATTTGCCATTTCTTTCTTGCCTTACTACTACTACTTTTTTTTTTCTGAAATATTCTAAGGCAAATTCCAGACAACAGTTTGTTATTTTCATTGTGTATCTCACAGGTACAGACTTTCCTCTTTCCTTTCCTCCCTTCTTTCCTTTCTCTTCTTTACCCCTTTCTCTTTTTTCCTTCCCCTCTCTTTTTCTCTCTCCCTCCCACTCTTCTTTTTTTTAAATACAATCCCAACATGAGTTACAACACCTGACACAATTACAGTTCCTTAACTATAGAGAGTTTATGTTTGGTTTCCTAGATCGCCTGAGAAATGTCTTTCTATAGTTGCTTTATTCACATTAGGATCAAAATGTGGCCCATATATTGTTTTCGTTGTTGTTGTTGTTAGGTCTTTTATGCTCCATTTAATCTATGAGAGCATCCCATCCTTTTTCTTATATTGAAGAAACTTGATCATTTGCTGAGCATGGTGATACATGCCTATAATCCCAGTGACCCAAGAGAATAAGGCAGGAGGATTGCCACAATCAAAGCCAGCCTCAGCAATTTAGCAAGGCCCTGTCTCAAAATGAAAAATAAAAAGATCCTGGAATATAACTCAGTGGTAGAGCACCCCTGGATTCAACCCCAGTATTGCAACACAAAAACAAAAAAGAAACTGGATCATTTGCCTGTAAGATTTCCTACATTCTGGGTTTGTCTCTCTCTGTTCTCATGGAGGTGTTTCATATGCTCTTATATCCCCCCAATTTTCTGAATGTTGTTTATAAGATCTAGAGACTTGATTAGATTCTAATTCAGTTACTTTTGGGAAAAGATCTTAACAGGTGATTCATTGCATCCAGAGGCACCTAAGGTCTAGGAGTTCCACATTTTCATAATGTTAATATTGAATGACAAGAGGCAAATGGATAACACAGAGCGACAATGAGGAGGCCATATTACATATGCATTTACATATGTAACATACATTTATGTATATTCATTCCATTGTGAAATGTACTTTTAAGCCAGGCGCAGTGGCACACACCTGTAATTCCAGCTACTCAAAAGACTGAGACACAAGTATTGCAACTTTGAGGCCAGCCTCAGCAACAGTAAGGCCATCAGCCACTAAGTGAAAGCCTGTCTCAAAATGTCTCAAAATAAAAAGGGCTGGGAATGTGGTTCATTTGTAAAGCGTCCCTGGGTTAAATCCCTAGTACCAAAGAAATAAAGTATTTTTGATAAAGCAGTTTATGACAAAATATTGTTTGTAGCACACTATCATCAATATTCATTTTGATTTTCTTTTCTTTTTAAATAGGAAAGGTTTATTTTGGCTTATGATTTTAGGGGTTTCAGTCCATGGTTGCTTGGCTCCATTGTTTCTGGTCAGAACATCATGGCAGGCGAGTGTGACCGAGCAAAGCCACTCACCTCATGGTGGTCAAAAACAGGGAGCTGGGGGTATGGAGATTCCTTGGAAAGCTGGGAATGGAACCACCATTTGACCCAGCTATTCCCCTTCTTGGACTATTCCCTAAAGACCTTAAAAGAGCGTACTATAGGGATACTGCTACAACGATGTTCATAGCAGCACAATTCACAATAGCTAGACTATGGAACCAACCTAGATGCCCTTCAATAGATGAATGGATAAAAAAAAATGTGGCATTTGTACACAATGGAGTATTACTCTGCACTAAAAAATGACAAAATCATGGAATTTGCAGGGAAATGGATGGTACTATAGCAGATTATGCTAAGTGAAGCTAGCCAATCCCTAAAAAACAAATGCCAAATGTCATCTTTGATATAAGGAGAGCAACTAAGAACAGAATAGTGGGGAAGAGCATGAGAAGAAGATCACCATTAAACAGGGACGAGAGGGGGGAGGGAAAGAGAGAGAGAAGGGAGATTGCATGGTAAAGGAAGGAGACCCTCATTGTTATACAAAATTACATATAAGAGGAAGTGAGGGGAAAGGGGGAAAAAAACGAGAGAGAAATGAATTACAGTAGATGGGGTAGAGAGAGAAGATGGGAGGGGAGGGGAGGGGAGGGGGATAGTAGAGGATAGGAAAAGCAGCGGAATACAACAGACACTAGTATGGCAGTATGTAAAAAAGTGGATGTGTAACCGATGTGAATCTGCAATATGTATACGGGGTAAAAATGGGAGTTCATAATCTGCTTGATTCATTTTGATTTTCAAAACTCAGTTTGATTTCTGATCTTGTTGCTTGACAATTCTAAATTTCAGACTAAAGTAAAATGTGTAATTTTGTAGTGTGCTTAATTTAAAAGGAATACTCCTGAGTCACTGTTTGCCTACTAAAGTATTGGATGAATTCCTGACAGCTAGACAAATTATTTATTTACCTAATATTACCAAATTATAATAGAACTAATAATCATTTCTATAAAGATAAATTAGTGTCTTTGAGAACTAGAGAAATACACTATTTCTCTAATGACATCCAGAGTTCTTGAAAGATCCTTTGGTCTAACCAATGAGAGACATATTGTACCCATTCCAGGGATATCAGCCAGCCTCTACTTACTGTCCACTGTGTCAATGTGAAGCTTCCGGAAGATATCCAGTGAAATCACTAAGGCCATTTGAAAGCAACTGTCTAGAAAGGCAGAACTAATATGGTAGACATCTTAACAAAAGTGCTGCAAGGATGAGGAGCATAGGTGCTCAGATTGGGGAAGACCAGTTAGAAAGGGAATGATTTTTTTCAAAAGATGAATTTTGGATATTGAAGAGTAACGCCAAGTGATTTGCCAGTTGCTAGGAAAAAATTAAGAGGCCCCTTTTGAATTTTCAAGTCTGTCAGAGTAAAAGCTACTCAGAAAGAATTGGTTACAAAAGGCAAAACCAAAGGAGATTTTTTTTTTTCCCCAAAGAATATGACATTTGCTTCATGTACAAGACTGCCATTTGTGGTTGCTTCTAAGAATACCAGTGAAAACAAAAATCATTATGTATCTTCTAACAGAAGTTGGGAAGTTCTGTACAGAAGAGAAAGTAAAGCAAGTAAAACAAAGGTCATCTGGACAAAGTTTACTGTTCCAAATGCTGCCTCTTGGGGCTCCTCACAGGTCAGCACTATCGATCAGGTCATTGTGCCTTTGGAGGATCTGACTTGCTTTCTTCAGAGTGCTTTAGAAATAATCTTGTGTTCCCATCACTGGCAGTCATGAAGTTAATTATACTTTCTTCCTTGTCCAAGACCAAGAAAATTAAAACAATTGTCATACTTGTCATGGTGATGTTTAAAAACTGCACTGCCATAGTGTAAGTTGGTTTTACTAACTCAAGTACAATGTTAAACACATCCCATTTTTTAATGTAGGTCATCACTGGTTAAATATTAAGTGTTCAAATATGGACTGGCCTACACAGTGACTGTTTTAAGGGGACATCTTTGTTTATTTCAAATATGCAAGTTTAGAGGTTCTAAAAATTTAATTCCAGTCCATGGAAGTTCTCTGGTGAATAAAATAAAAGTAAGGGTGAAAGCTGTTAATATGAAACTGCCATTGATATAGTAACTAATGCATTTAGGTGAACTATTAAAGATTATTTGAGTCAGTAATATTAAGGAGTTTTTAATTTCCAGTCTGTTCTCACTTTTGGTGTAGTGAATATATAAACTAAAAGGTACAGAAAAGACAAATCTGTCAGGAGTCTTGGTATTTTATACTTGCTTATAAGTTTTCAAAATGGATTAGATAAGAGGAAAAAACTTTTCAGAAACACATTTTATTGCTTTCAAATTGTTAACCAAGAGGGTTTTTGTCAACTCACAATAAAAGCTATAAAAAATTACGCTAATGTATTTTCCCCATGATTCCGCTATATAAACATGATTACACAATGCAAAAACCAACAGTTCCTACAGTGTATGTTCAAAATTGCTGATCTTGTGTTTTATTGCAGCTAAATGAAATGATAAGAAACCCGAAGGAAGGACATTTCTGGCAGGTGGATCACATCAAGCCAGTGTACAAGGGAGGGGGACAGTGCACCCTAAACAACCTGCAGACTCTCTGCACGGTCTGTCACAAAGAGGTCAGTGGAGCTCACAAGCAGCTTTGACTCCATCCTAGGAAATCCAAAAGAAAATATGCAAACAGGTGTAGGTGATTATGTGGATAAGTCTATACCCCTGCTCTAGGGTCCAAGATGCATTTTTTTCCTTTTATCACTGGACACTTGCCCTTCTTCTTGAGGCCTATATAAGTTTTCAGTCACAGATGCAACAGAAGCACCTTCCCTCTTAATTCATTTTAGGACCAAGACATGTCACCACTATCTAGAAAAACATGAATACAACTTATTTATTTACAGTCTTGAAGAGAACCAGACCCCAAAACTGAAAGTTTTGTGAATTAGGGCAGTGATACATGTTTGCATATGACTAAGAATGTCCTAAAATATTGAAGAAAATTCATAAATTGTCTCTAGGACTAACTCAGCTCAACATGAAAGATATTATACCGCTAGTTTAAGTATAAAACCCATTATACTAGGTACATCTTTGTACAACCTGTTGCTTAAAATGGCGGTGTAGGGGATGGTATAGTATTGTTATCTACCAGGATGAATTTTTAACACACAGTCCCACAAAATAACCAATTATATTTATGGTTTTTAGAACCATTTGGATCTTTTGCCAGTGTTCATAAATGAACTCTTTTAATCCTTTTTTTAATATTTTAGATTCCACAATTTCTTCATAAGTATAATTTTTATATAAATGGGATCATATCACACAGGCAGGTTTTGGTTTTGTTTTTAGTTTTAACCTTCTTTTCTTTCATCCTTTCTATCTGGATTCATGAACTTCAATTGGGAAAAATGTCATCTGATTTCTCAGCTGTACAAATTAATAGCAAATTCAAAACCTGTAAGAGAATTAAGAAATAGCCAAAGAAAATGTAACCTGTTCTGTAATTATTTTTTCAGAGTCTCATAAATATTTTATTTGTGGGATTGGCAGAAGAATCGAGTTGTGGTCTGGCTTATTTTATTTTCTACATTGGGTTATCTGTTGAGTTGGGAATGGCTTCTGGGACCTGAGAATAGGAAGTGGGAAGGCCCACTCCTTATCAGATCCTGGTAAAGCTAAGACTCAGGGCACTAGTCAGAGCTGCTGAGGTACTCTGCTTTGTGGTTTGGAACAATCCCTAATGGCTAAGCACTGGGTATAGGGGCAATGTAGATTTCATCTAGACTAAAACTACAGTTTTTGAGCTTCTGAAGCCAATGCTTTTTTGCTAATATGTGCACTTACATTTGTTACCTTTTAGAAAACTGCTAAACAAGCCAAGGAAAGAAGCCAGATGAGAAGACAATCTCTAGCATCAAAACATGGATCAGATATAACACGATTTTTGGTGAAGAAGTAAAGTAGAAAAAATATATGAATGGATGACAAATTGTCTACGTGTGGAAGAATTTTTTTTTTAATATTTACTTTTTAGTTTTTTTAGGTGGACGCAATTATCTTTATTTTTATGTGGTGCTGAGGATCGAACCCAGTGCCTCATGCATGCCAGGCGAGCATGCTACCATTTGAGCCACATCCCCAACTCCACATGTGGAAGAATTTAATTTAAAAAAATTTATGTCTGTCTGATATTTTCAGAGTGAAAATTTTAGAACATAAATCAAGAATTTAAATTCCGGTTTTATGCTAAAATACTTTTAGTGTTAAATACTTTTTGAAAGTACTTAACCAGAAACTTAAATATAATGCTAAATATTTCCATGGTATTATATGACTTTATTTCTCAATTATGTTTCACCAAGATTTTGCTAGCTTTTGTTTCTCCTGCAATATGCCTTAATCACTGTATTTAACATAGATAAGTGTTTAAAAAATATACTTTTAATTACCTGAAAAATGCTCTTCTTGACTACTATTGGTTCTGGACCATCATAGGTGTAAATGGAATACTGCAAAACAATAAAAGACAATTTCAGAGGTAAACCATCATAATTTAGGAATTCTGAGCCAAGCATGACCAATCTACTTAGTATGCAAAAGAGACTTATTCATTAAATGCCTCCAAAATAGGGCTAAGGAATGTATTTTGGCTTTATTATTTTTGCTTTATCTCTCAGACAGTCATCTTTATTAAAAAGATAACTTTTAAAAATAAGCTAATCGTATTTAATAATGTTTGTGGATTATTTGGGTATTCTGGGTAACTATTAAAACTAATAAACAACTGAAAACATAAATGCCCCTTAAGCCTAATTTTTTAAGGTTTTTTTTTTGTTGTTGTTGTTGTTGCTTTTATTTTTAGCATGTACAACTAAACTTATTGTCAAATACCCTTTGATTCTTGATTCTCGTTTTTGGTTTTTTAAATCTGTATTATTTAAAGTATATTTCTGGTACATCTTTTAAAAAGAATAATTATAAAACACTTTATATTAAAGCATAATTGGATGGTTATATGTATTTAAAAATATAATGATAATATTAAAATGTAAGTGACATTAGAAACAGGGCCTAATCCCACTATATATCATAATTGTAAGAGGAACAAGTTAGAACTACACAAACTACAGGTTCAAGGAAGCATTACATCCCCCAAAAGCACCTGTTTGTAGATACCACTTGGATATAAACATCATTATTTTAGCATTTACCAATTTTAATTAGTAGATGTCCTTTTAAAACTTGTTTTTAGAAAAATTATACAATCATGAATTTACCTTTCTGAATTGTCATTTAAGTTTATGGCTGTTTCATTGCATGAGATTAAATAGTATTGTTCCTTTTATAAATTAGGTTGGACTTTCTTTGGTCTCTTTTCTGCTTTGCTGGTCAGGCTCTTTACAGTTTTCTGCCTCATTTCCAGGTAACCTAGGATTCAGTTGACAGCCTAGCATAGCAGGCTGCCTTTTCTCCAACATGGGGTGTTTGCAAGTGCGAGTTTGGTCTAAGTAGGTCAGATTTGCGTGGTGCATGCTCTTTAGATCAAACCAAGGTGGTGATTCTAAGGAGAAAGTTCTCAGATGTAAGATCTGTATGATGGTTTGAGGTGAAATGATCCATGAAGATGGTTTCTGTGCCACATTTCAAAATTCAGATCAATTAAAAACACTGTAAGGAACAATGAGCATTTGCTACACAGCACATTGAATGGCTCACCCCATCTCTTCCTGACACATCTCAGAGCTGCCCTGCCTTCCCTGATTTTATCTGCTTCACTCGTGGGGCACATTGAGATGAAGACTTTGGGACTGAAAATAAAGGCAGAAATTTATCTAATAGCCAAAACCTAAGGCACATCTTAGGGAGGCTGTTCTTTCATCCTCACAGTCTGAAAGAGAAGCTGCCCTCTATGGATTCCAAATAGGACGTTCTGACAATAGATGCAGAAAGTGTCAGGGCTAGCAGCAGACCTTGCTCGCAGAAAGAAGTACAAGGGCCCCCTGGGGAAGAAGACAACTGTGACCACACATGAGAGGGAAATGAAATGAAACTCTGAGGGGGGGTTATGGGAGTATAAAGAAGGATGGACCCAGCTCTGAAAGCACTCAGAGAAAAGAAAGCAAAGGCTCTGGACCCTGGGAATAGAACCAGGACATCATAGCTGAGAAATGAACCAGTTTACAATATGGAACCATGTGAGACTATGCCTAGGCTGCACCTTTGCTTGGCTCAGGAGCACAGCCAATGTGGGGATGCTGTGGGCTTTGGGGGGGCTTCTTGAGCAAGGTGAGCACATTCACCCTAATCATGCACCCCAGTATCATCTGCCTTCCTGTTCCTGTCACAGAGGCACATAAATTCCAGATACTCTCTGATGACTAATAAAGTTGCTTTGAATAGCCCCCCAGAGACCAGAAGGAATTCATAAGAAATTTTCAAAGAAGCCCACTTTCAGAGTTAATCACAGCCTAACATACATTTCTTGTGGAGATCTTCCTGTAACAAATGAATATCCTTCTGCATTTTCTTAGTTATGTATGTGAAAATGATTTTCTGCACACCTATATTGCTAATAAATTGAATCTCTTCTTCAGATCCTTAAATGAAACTTTTAAAATATAATTTATTTAGAAATAAAAGTATGATGCAAATCAACACTCTTGAGATTAAAATGGAAAGATTATTTTTACTTACAGGGTTCAGAATCATGGAAATCAAACATCCAATATAGATTGTAGGAATAATATCTCATTTTCTATTGCATATTATTCACTTGTCTCTCATTCCCAATTTATTCTTTTGAACTGGAAAATTACAAACTCTTTGTCCATCCACCAATCTGAATTTCCACACCAGAAAAACATTCCATCTCACCCCAAGGTTGTTGTTAGTTGTTTTCAATAGTTAAGGGTGTTTTGCCACTGCAGCTGTGTTTTTGCTTACCATCAAGAAATGTCACTGTTGCTAAAATATTCTAGGTTCCAACCACCTGCCTTACCTCAACAGTTTTCTCTCCTAGCTTTATCAAGTCATGGAACAGAATTTTTTCTATAGTAGATAATACTATTTTCTGGAAACTGGCCTTTGAAACACCTTAAAATATTATTACTTATTCTGCATTTGTTAAAATGTTCATAGTTCACAGTCTCTCTGTTTTAGACATCTATCTTCCCTACAACCAAATTTCTTCATTAGACTGCAGAATCTCTAAATATCTATAGATGCATGATAACTATATTAGTCAGCTTCCTGACACTATAGGAAAATGCATGAAATAATCGGTTTATAAGTAGAAAATGCTTATTGTGGTACAAGCTTTTGGAGGCTCCAGTTCATGATTGGTTAGCTCCATTGCTTTTGGGCCTGTGTCAAGGCAGCATATCATGGCAAAAGCATATAACTGAGCAAAAGCACTAACCTCATCAACCAAAAAGCAAAGAGGAAAGGACTGGGGTCCCACAGTCCCCTTTGAGGACATCCTTCCAGTTGCCTAAGACATCCTACAGACCCCACCTATCAAAAGTTCCACAGCCTCCCAATAGCACCACCCTGGAGACTAAGCCTATAAAACGCAGACATTTGGGAGATATTCATTACCCAATAGCTAAAGTCTGTATAAGAATGATCCCAACATAGTTTTGACTTTATGAACAAAATGAGCTCAAGAAAGCTCCAGAGTGGTACCTGAACCTAGCAAGTTTACACGTGAATGTGACACTCTTAGTTCAGTCTTCTTGGTTGTAACTCCGTATTGCTACACTTCAGTCCTAGAGCCACTTCTGCACTCTATAAAATGTCTTCTGCTTTCTTTATAATATTCCTTTTCAGAACTGTGACTTAATGCCTTAGTATTCATCAATTGGATGTTCTTTAAAAGATACACATGAAACACTGCTGTGCTGCTGTTTTGGAAACTGCCATTAGGATTTTTAGGGAAGATAATTGCAAATGTCAAACTGGAAAGTAGTTGAGAAATGAAACACAGGAGTCATCTGAAATTTAAAATATCATTTTTTTGAGGCTAATAAAGTAGAATTAGAGATCATGTCATGGTTCAGCAGCCACAGTCAAGCTTTCTAATATTTGGGGTGTCCTATGTTTAGCTGGGGCAACCCCCCACTGCAGAAGAACAGGAGTAAATTTTATCGTGGAGTAAGTACCCTTACCCCAAAACCCAGACCCATAGCTACTTGTCTTTTTAGGGACAATGAGAGAAAGATTCCCCAGGCCTAACTTTAGGGCCTGCATCCTTAGCACATAAAGGTGGTCTGTCCTGTAGACAAGACAGGCTGATGAGAGAGAAATGGCAAGTGTTTCATTCTTCATGCCTTTTCCTAAATGTACCAATGGCATGAGTCACTCAGCCTCCTCTGTGGACAAGGGAGTCAGGGAACAGAGAGAGTCCAAAAGTTTCCCCTTGAGATATGAGGAAAAGGTAGTTCATATTTCATCATTGTATGCCTCTTTCCTATGTATCACAATGACAAAACTAGTTCCTAACTAAATACCATAGCTCAAATGTTACTCTGTCCCCAGCACTTGGAAGTATTCAGTAGTTTCTTAAATTCCCCCTGGACGTTAGAAGCCATCCTTTACCCTGACAATTGTCTACTCTAAGGTGCATGCCTGTCCTTCGTCTAGCCTAATGTGCATCTCTGAGACCACTTGGTTCCCCATGCCTGGACCAGCTTGTAAGAATGATTCTCTGACTTGGTGTGCTATATTATAGTGTGGTTTCAAATAAATAGGTTAATAGAGGTCAAGCACCTGAATTTGTTAAAATAAATCCTGCTGAAGTTTTGTTTTTAAAGATGATTTGTGAATTATGACCACTAATTATCTACAAAACATGTTGAGCTTCTAGACCAGTGCCATCCAACAGAAACATAAGCTAAGAGTACCATTCAGTGTCATGAAGTATATTTACACTGTTGTGTAACTACTACCACTATCCAGCTCCAGAAAATTTTGATCATCCTATATTGAAATGGTGTACCCA